GGGTTCCATAAATTACGACCTCTCCGGTTGAAATTTTTAATCAACATGGTCATTATCTTGGAATTGTCCATTTAAAACATTTATATTTGAAAGGGGCATTTAGTTTTGTTTGTTTAAACTTTTAGAGTATGAGTTCAATCGATACTTTTCCTTACAAAGAGGAGGATCAGATCAAATAATTTGGATTTGTAAATTCTTATTTTATAATTTGGACATTTATTAGGATTTACTAGACTCGTCAACTCCAATTCTTACTGGGAGGAGGATTATATTAGTTAAGTGGGACGACTCTATCTTATATATAAGGCCACCCGATTAGCTCACGCAACATTCTCGAGCCTTGTTCTTGAGCATTCAATACATATGTTGGAGTACATGTGTGCATTTAATTTATGTATATGAATTTTTTTAGTTGAAATGTTTGGTGTTTTATGGAAATTTGTATGAATTAAATCAATTAGTTTGCATACAAGCTTTTATTCCAAGTACTTTACTGACTTTTGTTCGCTAGCACATGTATTGTGAATTCGGTAGCGAGGAGACATGAAATCCTTGTTGAGTATTTTTAAAAAAACGACATTTAAGTCAGTACCGATTTATTGTAGAATTTGATATTTAATTTAAGTTTAGCCCTCCCATAATTAGATCGCATAAACATTCATTTACATTAGGACTTTTATTTGATCACATTCAATTATAATCGAATTTGAGACTTTTAACCCACAATCTATATTTTTCTTTATTTATATTATAATTCAAAAACTGCTGTTTAAAAGCTGGTGTTCAAAAGCAGTTGATCTGTTTTAAAAATGCAATTTTGCAAGTGCTTCATGTGGACTAATTAATATCTGTAATACCCCTCATTATATATTATGTAGATATCGTATGTATTTTCAATGTATGTATCTATCGAACATACAAATATTCATATTTCTTGCATAACATTCATATCTTTACGTCTCATAAAAAAAACGACCATCACTATGGTTTTACAGAAGGCATCAATAAAAACTTCAACAACATATCAATAAATAGATTAGGAAAACATGACTAAAAACATCAGCAACACAATGGACTTTAACAACACAATGGGATATACATTTGTGCAAAATAGTTCAAATAATTCAATTTTTTTAAGAACATCTGCAATTTCAAAATCACTATAAATTTTAGCAGCCTCCCGACGTCATCCCCACTTAAAAGGGTTGCATCGAGGTGCCTACCTACCCAGATGTCTATAAGATCCGTTGGTCAGCGTCTGCGGCTGGGGAGAAAAAAGGTTATTTAAATCACAATCTCAAAAGATGTGACGAGCCTTCAATATATCTGTAGGAAAAGTTAGTCTTAAATAAGCATTCCCTGTTTTAAAAATAATTGTCCAGAAAAATTCACTCCCCCTTGAATGGAGGTTTTCAAAATTTAATTCAATATTCATTAAATGGAATCAAATATTAATTAACACCATTTTAAAATTTTAATAGTTTTTTTTAACGTCAACACTGACACCTGGATCGATGATTCACGAACTAGAATAAACAAAAATAGTGAGTGCCATTGAATGTTACATTGACGAACATGGGAGTTCAATGGGTGGAAGGGAACTGGCTAGATCCAAGTAGTTTGATCGAGTGCTCTATTTGACTCTTAATGGAGTCTGGTGATTCTAGTATGTTCTGAGTGGGAGTCAGATGTACTGTTGTAGCTTTTGAGATCGTAGCAAGACCTTTAGCAGCGGAGGATTTGGTTAAAGTTTTATTCGCCAGCTTTCCGTGGAGCTTCCAACAATTGTTATGGGTATAATTGAGTTTGTGACAGTAATCACAAGCAGTGTGATTGGCCCGTGATGAGGTCGAAAGGGTTGATCACTATTAGAGATCAAGACAGACGGTTCGCTGAAGGAGTGGAGGTGTCGAGCATGATAAGTCTCTGGCTTTCTTCGTGGCGTACCTCGGTGAATGCAACACGACCCCTGGCTTCGTCGAGATCCTCATTTAGACCCATCAGGAATTGGAACACACGGTCCCTTTCCACAATTTTCTAGAAGAGAGAAAAATTTGTCGGAGAGTCTCATGTGTAGTCATAGTAGATATTGCATTCCATTCATAAGGCCACTAAGTCATTCTAGTACTGGGTCACGGTCCTTAATCCCTGTTTTGCCTCGCGAATCTTCTGGGAAACCCATAAAGTTGGTCTGGGTTTTCAACGTCTGAGTACGTATTTTGAACTGTTGTCCATAGCACACTTGCATACGGAAGATATAGATACAAGCGACCAATTGTAGTCTCCATGGAATTGATCAACTTAGACATGATCATGAAATTCTCCACTTCCTACTTTCCATACGCCAGATCAATTTTCAGAGTTTCACGAAACATTCTCGTGAGATAGTTGAATTTTTCGCTTCCTTTGATGAACAATGACATAACTCGGGACTATTGGAGAAAATTAGAGTTGTGAAGTTTATGGGTGGTGATCAAGAAGTTCATGTGATTTTTCGAGCCTTCGGTCTATGGAGGGATTGAGATTGGTGCCGATCTTCTGGTGGACTCAAGTACACCACTGAGAGGAGACTCACTGGTTGAGGAGTCTGCCATGATTATGACCGAGCCAAGGGTGATGTTGGGTTGCCTAGATATGGGAAAATCATAGACAAAAGGTCCTGTAGGTAGTTAGAAACAACCTGCTGGTAGGTAGGCTCAGCAGGTGAAGTTGACGGGAGGGCCTGCAGGGCAGGTTGACTGGAGAGCCTGCAGGGGATGTCGGTGGGAGAGCTTGCAAGGAGGGGTTGGCGGTTTGGACAAGGAAGGGCCTGCGGTTGAAACGGAAGGCAGGGAGGACCTACAGGAAGAAGGGATGGGCTGCTAGGGTGATGTCCTAAAGGTAGCTGGGGTGAGATCCATGCTCTGATACCATGTAGAATAAGATAAAAGAGCAGAATAATATTATTGAGCAGTAAAAGATGTATAAATACATTATACATGGAGTATAAAAAATAAAAGTTATAATACCCAAATCTTTCCTAATAACTCCTGAAAGATAAAAAGAAAATGCATAAATTAGAAAATACATATAAAAGGAAATATCATAAAAGACACAAAATAAATAAAAAAAAACTTCTAACAATTAGCTGTTTCTTAATTTTCCCCCAAAATAATCTATTACAACAACAACAACATGAACAACATAGCCTTAATCCCACTACGTGGGGTCGGCTACATGAATCCTTTTTCTCCATTGCGTCCTATTTAGTGTCATATTTTCATTTAGGGTACCATGTTGAGAGAGCAACGATAGTAGTCCTAACTTAGTAGTGATGTCTTAACATAATAGTCTAGCTACATTCCCAGCGCAGCATAGTAGCCCAAATGATAAAACAAACCTCCTGGGCAAGGAGCTAGGGGTACGCAGGGCAATACCTCTCATCAACACGTATGATTGTGGTGGCACATCCTCACTTGTAATAATCGGGAGGCACGATAGTAGCATCGAGACTTTATATGAAAAGTGAATAGTGAAGGATTTAGTTTTGTCAGACATTTTGAACTCCCACATATAGTCATCTCCTAGCAAAACATTGAAGAACCATCTTAATCATTCCTCGTTCGGAAAGGAAGCATCAGGTTTGTCACGATGGAGATCTTGCCTATTTGGTCGGCCTGAGTTGATCCATCCAGTTCAGCCAAAAATCTGTTTTGTTTTTTTAAATTTATTACATGCAGGAGAAGCATTGAGAATTGGTTTCACAAAATATAATAAAGCATTTGAGCTCTGTAGAAAGAGAGTAGAAGTTGTATCAATAAAATGAGTAGACATAATAGATGTGGAAGCGTATAAAAAAGGCATTGGAGCTGACAAGAATAATTTGAGTAGAATTTGCTGGTAAAGATTCTTAAAAACTATTGCTTCTACCACGTGTAGGTATCGATATAATAGAAGGATCTGTAAGGATATACCCAAGCGTTCATAATTGCATATCCCTCTTCATTGCTTTTTCCTAGCTGGTCGAATTGATTATCATGCTTTTTCACTGGCATATTTCTCCTAAATGTAACAAATAGGTTATTATATACAATTCCATTTTTCTCAAGGTTAGTTTTTTCTTTGGCTCTTATTAAGCTTACAAGTAGGCTGCGCTAGGTTTATATATTAGTTTGGAACAGATTTTTGAAACAATGAATGGATATCAGTTGTTAGTGCTTTCATTGTGTTAGGTATATCTTTCTCATCTCTAGTTATAGTTAATACGTGTGCTTGGGAGTCCTTGAAAATGGAAGAAATCAAGATCTTACCATGACTGCAATTTGAGAGAGACGCGAAAGTACAAGCCTATGGGGTCGCTTCTACAACTGGATTACCAGTGATGAAAACCGTCTTGACATCGGATGATTTGGTGTTTTGATGATCCCTACTTTATTGACGACAACTTCTGTATTTATCATTGCCTTAATTGCTGCCCCTCCAGTCGATATTGATGGTATTTGTGAACCTGTTTCTATGAAAAGAAACGGAAAGAGAGGGATTCAAACCCTCAGTAAACAAAAGTCTACATAGCAGTTCCAATGCTACAACTTGAACCACTCGGCCATCTCTCCTACAGAATGTTATTCTTGACCAAAACCTGAATGTATAGCGAGTCCTCTGGATAAGAGACAAATGCTGGAGCGGAACGGAGCGAGCCAGCAGAGTGGAGCGGCATCCTGTTTGTAACCCTAAGGAACTTGTACTCTTTTTCTGAATTGAAGGAAAAACCGCCGTTCTGCTCCCGAAGATGTAGGCATCTTTACCAAACCTCGTTAAATCTCCGTGTTTCTTTCTGGATTTGTGTCGATTCTTACTTTTCTTTGCCCTAAAATTCTGAACACATTGTATACATGATCCTTCTTTTTTATGATTTGCTTTATATTTTCGTTTACTTTCTTAATTACGCTTCCATTGTTTAAAATGACCTGCGGATAGGTAGCCTTTAACTGAAGTTACGTAATATTACATGAAATATGCAGCCTCTGGTGATATTCTGAGCAATATTTTGAAAAGGCATGGAGCTGAAGGGGAGGAGCAGCTGGGTCAGGCACAGTTTGCACAGCTACTACAGCCTATTCTGCAAGATCTTGTGGATGCTTTGGCTGAAAAACATGTAGTTGTCATTCAGAATATCAAAGTCATTAACGGTTCAAGGTTAAAAAAGGTATTTCCATGTACAATTTATTCAATTTTTTATTTTAAAGTTGAACAGGTGTAAATTCCTTCAAATAGAATTTAATATGATTATCAATATAATTTTTATGAGAAATTCGAGCTTAATTTGCTTTAAGGAGATAATCTTGTGCAGCAATGATCATTTTTAAAGTTCATAAATTTAAAATAAAAGCTGCAATTATCAGTTTTAGCGGTGATACGAATCATAGTTTGCAAGTTATTGATCTTTTCTGGTCATGATGGATTTTTTGTAAGAACCAAGAGGGCGTTGAGCGCAGGATAACTGTAAAAGTGGAATAATATTTTATATATATGTATATTTTTTTGAATTTAGGCAAAATGGCAGTGCTGAAAAAATTTTTAGAGAAAATTTTTATACGATATGAACCGAGTTCGTGTTTTTTTTTTTTTTTTTTTTTGGTGCATAAGAATAGAGAATGCCGGTTAGGTGGGGGTTATTCTTAATGAAGAAGGGCCTACACTGTTGAAATTGTTCCAATAGAATTCTGTGAACTATAATTAGAATTCTGTGAACTATAATTCATTTCCAATTTGGCATTAATTATGTTTATGGCGAAGAATTGTAAATAAAATCTGCTTGCATGGATTGGGTCCATATTCTACCCTTACTTAGTAACATGCCATATTTTTCATTTCATTGTTATGCTTTGTTTTTGGAGCAGTTGCACTTACTTTCCTCATCCAACTCTATTTAATAACGCATGGAGAAATGTGGCTCCTTTATGGAACCCTTATGCACCTTATGGAGATGGCTAGTTCCATTAGAACAAATTGAGGTGATTGTCCGTATGAAGTTTGAGATAGTTTGTAACCGCCCTTTATTACAGAGCTAGATTTATCACTCAACAATCACATGAAAATTTTAATTTTATTCGTGAAATAATTATAGGATTGCTATCATACTGTTGCAAGGCAGTTCCAACATGAGTTATGGTGGTAACCTCAAACTTGATCCAAAACTTTAATGTGGAACCAAAAGTTTTCGGTCCATGGCTTTGTGCTTGTTAAGATGAGGAGATTATTCTGGTGTCATATTATTAAAGATTCCTTATGTTATGAGTAAGAGAATGAGCATAATATTGTAGGATACATCCAAATATCATACACCACTCCCCAACTATATATAGCTTTACTAGTTTAATATTCCATGCTAATACTCTCTTTCAAGGTGGTGCATATATGTCAATTATTTGCTACTTGTTACAATCAAAAGAAGGTTGAAGGATCCAGAGCTTCTGTAACGATATCAACTTTTTATCTTAAACTGAAGCAATGAAGAGCTATAAGCTTAGAAAATATAACATCACAACGAAATGACAAAAGAATGTTTGTTTGATTTTTTTATGGAATGAAGGTTTGCTAGCAATATAGATGATGATAGATTGTCATAATATAGGACTATAGGCTATATAAATGGAAACTAAACTCTCTTAAAAAGAGCTTTTATCCTCATCATTTCACATGCAGAGTGGGCCATTGCTCTGTATTCAATCTTAGCTTGGTATCTAACCGCAATAAATTACTGCTTATATTTTAAGATGACGTAGTTACATCCTGAAAGAATATGTAATCTCCGAAGGTCTATTAATTATTTTCAACTTGTTCACAATTGGACCTTTTTAGGGTCCTATCGATAAAAAGGGAAAATTGTAGAAGTTTAGGGGCTTATTTGTAAAATATTATAATAACCTATTCAAGCCCATGTTTTAAATGTACAAAGAAGGTTTTGAACAATTCTTTCTTTAGGTTATTAGAGCCCTAGCCCTAGGCAACCGTCGTTGGTGTTGCTCGATCGTCGAGACCGACTCGCAGATACCCGAAACTCCTCTTTTTCTCTTCCTTCAGTTTTGTCCTCGCGATGCAGCTGTGACGAGAGGTAATTGGGATGGCAATGAGGGGATTGCAACATTTCAGTTGCAATTAGAGCTAATTGGAATGACATCCAGGGGATTGTGACGTGAACCCTCGCGATACAGTCGCACCAGGTAGGGGCAAACCTATGACTTCCTGCTCAGGGAATAGTCGCGCTAATGAGAAGGTAACTACACTCATGATATAGGCGTGATTGCGTTTGGTGAACCCTTATGATATAGTTATGCTCGAGTGTGCGAGCTGACGACGCATCACAGTAGAGTAGTTTGAGTGGTGCAGGGCGAGGGTGAAGTCCACGTGAAACTAGAGCCTTGGAGGAGAGAACTTTGGTTTGTCGACACTATTTTTGGTGTGGGGTTTGCCCGTAAGAAGCTGTCGGTCATCGGAATTGAAATCCCGTTGCCCGCTTCGGAAGGACGTTTTAAAAATTTTTATTTTTGAAAAAGATGAAGTCAAACTGACTCCATAATTTTCATAGTTTAGATGTAAGAGTGTTTTACCTAAAATCTTGTATCTATCCCGAAGGATGAACACAAGAATTGAGGGTGAGGGTCGATCAAATAAACTAAAGAAAGTTATGACATCCGTTTAGTCTGCGAAACCAATGTTTTGGCCGACAAATTCCCCTATTTAGTATAAGAAATTAAATAAGGTTTATATTATGCTGGGTTCGGGAAAAGCTTCCTATAAGGGCAAGCCCCTATAGTTAATTACATCTTAGG